AAATTAGCCTACTATTTCAGTTGCCTCATCTTTGCCCTGTTATTGATCGGGCTAATGGGGTCTGGGTCATACTTGGTTTATGAATACTGTTACTTGGGAAAGACGATGAATAATGGGTAGATTCCCAATATTCACTTGTCTAAGTGCTTTTTTTGAAGATTTTGCATTGCGGGTATAGGGATATCGACCTTTACCTTGTTCATGTTCATTGGTCTCCTCATCACTGTATGCGTCATCTACAGTAAAGAGAGAAGTCGTGAAAGAATGGCTGAAATTTATAAGGTGAGGGAATGCTTATTTCGGCATAATTACGACTTGCTTATAGTATATTGGATTTGGAGGTGAACCAGAAAAATATAAACCTCCAATAATGGAGACCGAAGAGAAACCAGTTCCAGACGTAATTCACCTTCTTTCAATTCTTTAAATTTTTGTTTTTAAATTAATAAATTAATTAATTATAAACTTCTTCTAGAATCCCGTAAATCCTCCTTACCCATCAAGCGACAAAACGGGAAGTGAAGACATCGTTTCAAATGGTGCAAAAATGCCGGTAAATTAACATGAGCTTTATATCACTTTCCAACTGATAATAGAAAATTATTCTATTATTTTAACTTGATTTGCTAATATATTTAAAGATGAATGCCCTTCAGGAGGAAATTTCGGAGTCACCTGTAGAGATAGCTTCTGAAGCCGTCGAAAGTCCTGTCAGCCAGGTACGCTGAACAATTTTTCGAAACTTAAATGCAGAACCAATTAATCAATTAATTCCTTTAACTAAATTTTATCGTCAATTGTATAGAATTTGAGTAAACCAACTCCTAGTGGAAACAATGCTAAATCAGGTGGCACTAAGAAACATGCCCCGCCTGCTAAAAAAGTCGCTCCAACCGTTCCGGTAATTTTAATTCTGTTAAATTATTAATTAATTATGAATTAAGCCAAGAAAAAATTAACACATTATTATGCTCACTGAAAAAATTATAGAAAAGGGGTGTAAATGGTGTCGAAAATTCTTCCCCATCCGAACCTGAAGACCCGGTAAAAAAACAGAGTTTATTCGATAAATAAAAAGTTACAAGAAAAATTTTATTTAATTAATTCATTATTAATAATTTTGTATTCGTAGTATCCTGTGGGCATGAACACTGAAACAACTATACCGGTAATTGCATGAATAATTATCTCAATGTTTGTAGTTAAACCATGTGTTTAAATTGTTATTTATAAAAGTTCCTTACTAAAAAATTATTAAATGTACTTTTCCCTATTTTTTATTATTTTTTAATCAATTTTTTCTGTTCCATTATTTTGGTCCCCTCTTTGAATTATCAAGCCACTGGTGGGTGAACAAAGAGTGAACACAGTGAGATTTTAATATAGTTTTCATTGGTGCATTTTTTCACTAACTTTAATTAAATTATTTCCTTTAGATTATTGATTCGTTGGATGCGCCATTGACCAGATCATCCCACTCGGCAGTTGCACCGGTAAAATAGCACGCAGGTTTCATTCAAAAAAATAAATTGACATTCAATCAAATTTCCCACGTTAACAAATATCCATCTGTTGTGCTTAATTTTAGGAAACTACATTGGAAGCGGAATCGGCCACTAATGTTTAGACAATAAATTTCCGAAAACACGCCTTCCGTTTCCTACAAATGACTGCAACTCAATTTAATTATTCCCTGTTTCATTGTAAGGTGTGCCTTTTCAGCCAACACAAATATGAACAATGTGGCAATACCGTCTCTCAATTTAATCTTCTTCGAAACTTTTTTCCCCAGTATTTTCCTATTATTTCCAGGTGATATTATTAATGTCGCAATAAAAAAATTTTTAGGGTTTGAAGACAATTTTAGCACTCGAGCATGTAAAATGTCCTCGTTAATGTAACTGAACCGAAACAGGTTCATATGAAATGAGCAAATAGTTAGTGCTACTCATCTCTGACTCTTATTATTTCAACATCGGGGGCTTTATACCCGAAGGTAACGTTAAAAATGAGTTCAAGCTACTCTAGCCACACGAAGACGTCCACCAGGAATTCGAATGAGTTGTGAACTGGAATCACCTACCTACAAGCATGCTTCAATGGAGGAGCAAAGCTCACAACGAAGGTGGTAGACAATGTATCAAACCTTTAAGACTAAAGCAGATCCTATGAGCTGAAAACGAAAACTTCTACAATATCAAGCTACTTAGAACTTCGTATAAACTTGTAGAGTCTGGTAATTTTCTGATCGGGGTCAATCCATGCTGTGGGTTAATTGTCAGAGTGGTTAGAATCGAGTTCATCAATCATTAGATAAGCTGATTAATCTATTGGCGACTTGGATCTGTTACTAGTATGGCTATAAATTGGTTCAATATTTTATCACTTTCCAAAAATGAAGGCGTGTTTTGAGAACTTGCCAATTGCAATATTTGGACATGAGTGGTTTATTTACCGTGACAAAAAGGGCGCTAATTGCCGATGGTCTCACTTTTCAAATCATGCGTACTGCCGTGCTCTACTTTTTTTTCACGCTTTCCATGGTTGAAAAATTCGCTAATGTCAAGAGGTCAAAATTTAAAGAAAATTATATTTTTTATTGTGGGTATTATATTGTCTCACCCTACGACACTTAAAAAAAGAGTTTTTTTTGGCAAAATACACCCACCTTCATACCCCGACACCACAAATTAAAGAGAATTCTAGATTCGATTTCCCGAATTTTCCCCAATTTTTGCCCTCAACCAAAATTACCGAAATAACTGCATTTAATCCTAATTGATGACATTAACGTATTTATTGGCTAATGCCTAAATCCAGATTGTCACCTACCCACTGACAAACAAAGCCCCCCCCCCCAGAATCAGGCACCCTCTCATTTAATTTAGTCTTCACTCGACTGTCCATTTTCATGCATTTTTCCAACCTTTCACCTTCTTTCTACGACCCAACTCAATTCCTCTTCCTTATATGAATTTGAGGGAGGCTATTGCCACCTATCAATCCTTAAGAACCTCAACTTTTAAAGGGATGAACTAGGTGAGATTATTAAAAGCAATTTTACATGGGAGCAGTATTTCCCTGAAGGCAGGAAACCCTTGTTGCTCCTTGCTTTTCCACTGATTCAGTTGATCTACCAGAGCGTCAGTGAAGATTTTTCCAAATCCATTGGCAAATGATAAATCCAAATGGAAGCATCAATATGAAAGTTATCGATTTTATCAGACCCCTTCTAACTCATACCCTTCATGCAGAGGAGGCTTAGAAGGTGATGAGAGTTTTCGTATGAAGAAAAAATATCAAAATGCTTTGGGAGCATGACAAATTAGTTTTGGGTTTTGTCTAATCTTGCAACAATTCTAATATCACGAAAATTGAAGTAAATTACCTCAGGAAGGTAAGACATAGTTCGTAGAGGAAAATTGAGTGACTAATTGAGATCGTTAAATGTAAATTTGAGTCTTAATATCACCTATTAAATAATCGGATGAAAAGAATGCCATTATCAATTATAGTCATATTGGGTATTACTACTGGTATAGGGCAATATGGCATGAAGAAAAATGATGGCACTTGTCATAGCACACAAACGGCACGATCTTCTCAACGCTGTGGTCACCTGGATTCGGATCACTGCACTCGCAAAAAGATTACAGTCACAGTTGTAAAGAAGAAAGCCTTCATTCTGACGTGATGTTGGGTTGACAACCACGCAATGCTAGGCTACAGGTGACGAGGACCTACTAAGAAAGAAAAGAAGCTTTGAACTCACAAAGCATTACCTACTTTAATATGCAATGTTTCTAACGCACAATTCTTCTCCACGCGACTGCTTAATTTATTTTTCACTAAATGCCACCCCGTTACAATTTTTTTTTTAAATATTAACAGTGTGTCTTTAAATATGCAAGAAGCCACTTTAATGCACAAAATTAAGTAATATGACTATTCTTAATTTGTATTGTTTATCAGATTTGTTTATTTATTTATTTAGTTCAAATGGCCAC